TTGTGCCAGGCTCAGGTGGGGTTTGCTGTGGGGCATGACTGCTGCATGGAATAGGTGGAATAGTAGGTATTCGATGGACTTTGGGAAGTTTTGCGTTGGACATGCACAAGGTACGGGTATACCTGAAATCCCTTCCACTGCCCATCCGACGGGATGTGAATGTTAAGACAAGACGTGTATCGATATCTAACAGCGCTCAATACTGAGCAGCGTGGGTGAGGAAGTACATGCACTTCCTTCCCGAAGCCCCCCTGCATCGGCGGCTCAAGTTGTAGCCACAGAGGAAGTTGAAAATAGATCCGTTGGACCACATGGACCAGGTACATTTGGTGATGCAAGTATCGTCTGGTGCGTGTGTCCGACAGCTTGTGCCGACAAGATACCCTCGTGCTTGCACCATGGCGCCATTAATGGGATCTTGCTCAGTACCGAGTTTGTATCCAGAGACGAGCGAAACTCATCGAATTTTATTCATGAACAAGAGCGAAGCTGCTTGGCTGCACGCCCATCCAAAGAATACAAAATATAATATGATAAGAATACTTCACTTTAATGCTGAAAATGCATTGCTCTTCTGTTGCAATATTGGAATTGCATTAGGGATGGTACCCGGGCTGAGAGAACCGGACCCGGGTACCCGGGTTTCCAGAACTTGGGTACCCGAGTGTACCCGGGTAACCCGGGTACACTCGATACCCGGGTAATCACGAATAACCGGGTACCCTCGTACAAACAGTACCCGGGTCCGGGTATATACCCGGAAAGAAAACCGGTTTGCCGTGCGCTTGGCCGGCTTCTATCTAACGGAGTCCACGGCGGCGACGCTGCAAACGGTGCAAAGTTTGCGGACGGAAGTGGTGGCGTCCGTCCGTTTTCGCGAACATGGTATTGCGCGGACGGACGGACGGTGCGTCCACGAAAGGGCGAGGTAGCAGGCCTCCCCGGGAGGGGCGTGGGAGGCACGAGATCTGCAGCGGATCTCTGCTTACGCGCGGCGAAGCGTTGTGCCCGCTTTGGCTTCTTGGGGGCGCCGATTGATGCCACTCCCGGGTGCCAATCAGGGCATCCGCGGGTGGCACCGTTCGGCGGCCGCTAGGAGCGAAAGTGGCTGGAGTGGGAGGTGACGTTCGGCCTCCCTCTCCCGCCGTTTTGCGGTGTGTCTTGTGCCCATGTTTTGCCCCCGCGCAGGCCGGCCACGACTGTGGCACTGCCACTCGCGGGTGCCAATAAGGGCACCCACTGGTGGTACAAGTCGGTGGCCGCGAGGAGCAAAAGGGTGGGAGTGTGAGCCAAGCTCGGCCTCCCACTCCTGCTGTCCCAACGCGTGTTTTGCGCGCAAGCTCTGGGCGCCGTGCAGGCCGTAGTTGACCTTTTGGCATCCACCCCTCGTGGACGCCGATTGATGCCACTCGGGGCACCCGCGAGCGGCAGCAAAGCGGGAGTGGGAGCCAACGTTCGGCCGCCAACTCTCGTCGCTTTGTGGCGGACACAGCCACACACAGTGTGGACGGGGGTGACCTTCGCGGAAATCAACACGGTGCGAAGCAACGCACCGAACGACCGCTGGTCAATTGCGCAGTACCCGGGCCCGTACCTGGACCCGGGTACTGGCAGTATCTGGATACTGTAATCCGGGTAATCCGAGTAATCCGGGTACACGACTGTACCCGCCTATGCCCGGGTATGTACCCGTACCTGCCTACCCGGGTACAAGGGCTCGCGGGTACCCGGGTAGGCGGGTACAAGAAAAACCAGTACCCGGCCCGGATACCGGGGTATCTTGTACCCGGGTACCATCCCTGAATTGGATTAATAACGTTATTATAAAATACACACGATTCAAAAAAGCTGAACACTTGGCCTGTGTCGGTAAAACATGGAGAGAGGTAATCGGTGTCCGAAGCAGATTATTTAGTACGAATATGGTCGCCGTTTGTATCACTAACAAGTTACCACCTGGTGCCCGATATTATAACCTAGCACCTGCTTCGACCAAAAGCGCAGCATATGTGACATTAACCAAATTGCTCCTTGCACATAGTTCCAATCGCGTTCAGACTCTGTTCAGGACGAGATCTGTTCGTTTTGTAATTGAAATTTCAATCGTGTCGAATTGGGACCTCATTGTTTTGTCTAACCGCACGGTTAAAGCACAAGCGTGTGAAAACGCGCGTGTAAAAAAGCGCGTGTTCTTCTGGTACCATTTCTTTAACTGTGAAACACGCAACGATGACGTGCATTACACTTGTGTGGGTGTCCCCAAAACGCATTGATGTAGTCGGCATCATAGCCTATACTGGATGTCGTCAATTCAGTTTGTTGCGGCAACGACACTGGCCAAAAAAATTTTGAGGGCTCAGGACAACCAGTTAATGTTTGTTGGATTAATCCACCTGGAAGTACTGTACCCTCCAAATATTTTTGTATGTAACAAAAAATAAAATTTTGTGCGTAACAATATTGTTACTCTTAAATTTAAAGAGTGTAGCTTTAAAGCTACAATCCTTACAAAGAAGGACTATAACAGTACAAAAACAACAATCTTGCATCGCTTATTCCCAAAGCAGTGCTTCAAGCACAATTTCTGTTCCAAGCCCGAAGAGGCACAAGCTCCGTTGGTTTGCTATAATACAGCAGTGCCAAACCTCTGTCATCATGAAATCGTTTTGTGAGCCCACACTTCGCCAGTGCGGCTGAAAATATTGCTCATTGTCTTGTGCTATTCTGCGGTTATATATCCCAATTTCGTGTACGCACACGTGCTTCAAGTGAATGCAAGTGAAATGGATGAATGTAGTAGATAGATTCATGTATTTGCTCGCGGAGCCATATAACGGCAACCCTTTCACTGGGTGAATTTGTTCTGTTTCATGGCCAGTTATTAACCTACATTCAACGAGCGCTTACTAGTACATGGGATGGTCCGAGCAGACCGAAATTACTAATGTGAAAATATTGATGAAATGCTTTCACGAAGCGCTGGCTCGTTTGACTCACTTGGGCCCATATGATGTCTTTACGATCACAATCATGTTAATTTGGGGCAACATGAGTTTCTATGGCAAAATGTAGTGCGCTTCATAACGAAATGCCTTGGTCAGGGTATGGGGTTCTTCAAAAGGTCTTATTGGGAAATCGTGGCATTTTTTCCCACAACATGGCAGTGGCTTGGCTTCTTTACTCAGTTTTATGTTCAATAAGTGATAGATCTCTCCCGGGATCCTGGGGATGTTTCTGTCTCCAGGAACTCCATGTTCGCAACCGCCCATACTGCACAATTCAGTCATAACCCAAAAATTGGCAAGCTGGTGGTTATGAGAGGGGAAGAAATCTGGTAGTTTTTCGTGACACCGTTGGCAAGGAGAGTTGCGTTCGAGCTTGGACCCGGACGAACAGATATATCAGCTCGGCCTCCGTGCGGGTATCGCCTTGTGAGGCTGTGTGTATGCGTTGCTGGACCGCCGCTGAGAGTGGTTTCTTGTGAGCATGCTTGGCCCTTACGTTTACAATTACGTTTTCAATTTATGCTTTTATGCGTAAAATGTAGATTTGAAAAAGGAGCGATTTTTACTGCTGTACTTGCGTGTTCTTATGGCTCGTCGTGACACCCAGGTCACATGATGGAGTCGCAAAAAATGATCAGTCGCCCGCGTCCTCGAGTACCGGCAACACGGCGTCCACCTCGCCCTCGGCAAGGGCAAAGATGTGATACAACAAAAAGCCGTTTTGTGCCCACTCCGGCGCATCTCGCTACCACTCCCCGGACTTCTTGAGTCTGCATGTACTATCCCGCGTACACTTGGTGAAAATCTACATAGTTTTACACGCATTTATGCGTAAGAACGCAAACACTATTTTTACTCGTAAGTGCTCAGTGTTTACGCCGTAAGGACCAAGCATGCCTGTGAGTACTCCACGGCAGCGGTTTGAGTCATTACTCAGCAGGCTGACCTTGGCAGGAATACTATTTCCCAGAGGCAGGCGCTCCAGTGCTGCCAGCACTGGTGTAGGCGTTTGCTTTACCAGGCAACTGTATCTTGTTTCGCCTGTCGATGCACTAGCAGATGAATTCATGGCATTGACATGTCGAATCGCAGCGCTGCGGATTGCCGAGCAGGCTGTCATATTTGCATTTCAACGCATGCGCCGGGCTTCTCCATGCTTTGTAAGCTCATATACTGAGGATCTGGCAATCTCGGATTCGAAGATGTCGGGCGTTGCTTGCAGAACAGCGATTGGACTGCGCAAACTCCGATGTCTTTCGGTCGCTCCGATTCATGCACTCCGCTTCGCTGGATATATCCAATGGAGCAGAGTGCATTGCATTTAATTGTGTGTACAATTTGAAGCTGTCGGTCGAGTTCGAGCTACCGGTCGGATATAAAGCCGCGAAAGAATCCGAGCCCTGCAGAACCTGCTTGGTAGCACTCTTCCCAACTGTCGAATTGGGGCTACATCCGCAGCAATCCTCAACGGCGTGAACAAGTCCGGAAGCCCCTGCGGTCTGCAGGCTGACCCCCACAATGGGCCAGGCATGTGGCAATCAGCAGCGGGCCGGCGCAGTTCAAACTTACACGCCGGGTTCTCAACACACACCGCCCAGCAACATGCGCCTCGAATGCGACCACCCATTGCCGGCGCCTCCCTTGGCATTCAACACCCCACATTTTCGTCCCTCCGCACACCCACCAGAGCCCTCCGCACTTTATTCGCCAAATTTTCAGAGGATCCTTCTACAATAGCTAACCTCTGTCGGCATCGGGCCGAGGGGCGCGGCAGCGCCTGGGCTCGCGACCAGCTGAATCGCATCTCCCCATATTCCCTCACACCCCTCCGCCAACGGGCCCCGGCCTCGTTGAGCCACCGCAGCAACACGAAGCAGACATTTCAATGACAAAGTTCAACTTCAGGGATCTCAACACGGAAGTCCCGCAGTCGCGCCTATTGACTCTGCGCGATCTCTCGCGGGCCCCATGGACCTGCCACGCGGCTCCAAGTGCTTAGTCATCGCTGTCCTCGCTGCTGTACTTCCTCTTGGGCTTTGGCGTCCTCTTGCAGGGGACCCAATCCTTCTTGCAAGCGGTGCCCGCCGCGCAGTAGCCATCGCCGCACTCCACCTCTGAGGTAAGGGATGCGCACACAGGTCACACAATCAGCACACCTCGAATTTCTTGACGCCGAGAATCGATTTCTCCTATACATCCTTCTGCGGACACTCGAAGCGCTGTGGACGCTATTCATTCCCGACAATTAGCAAACACTTGTCGCTAGAGCACCAGCCCTGTACATCGCCTGTCGGGCATCAACTCGCACGGACAGGTTGAGGTGATGACAATGCACTGTTGGCGCTGGCCCTGAGAAAAATTGATTAGAAACGTGGAGAAAGAAAGTTCAAGGGAAGAGGTAAGGAACCCTTCATGATAAATTGGTAGAATCCAGTACCGCAAATCATGGAGGATAGCGCGGGGAGTGTTGAAGAGCGTGGGAGCCCTTTGATGACGCCCCAGCGGCTATTGAAATGGCCACCGCTGCAGAGCACGGTGTGTCAGATAGCGTGGGGTGTATGCGTCTCCCATGATAGAGCACCCTCGTTCAACACCAGAAGATGCAACAACGAAGTGCAGCAAGTCGAAAAATGCCATGGTGACGCTATCCCACTTTCACTGTGATTGGTGTCCTGATTCAAACAGGTTTTTAACGAGCCAAATTGTCCTGGTAGTCAATGCGGCAACGTAGACCAGTTAACCGATTCACCGACATGATGCGAAAGGCGGGGTGCACATAAGATAGCGCGAGGGCACGCAAGATAGTGGCCCCCGTTTTCTTGGCGCCAGCATTGATGCTCAACGTGCGGAGGCTATCCTCCCTGATCTGAGGCACTATAAAGAACCAAATACTGTGTCGCTTCCTCCCTCCAAGAGCGTTAGAACACACTGCGTTGGTGGCAGTTGAACGGTATGAGCCACAGATATCAGGCCGCGGCTGGACCACACACTCGGCATCTTGCGTCTTCGATTCAGTCATTGCCACGAAGGATAATACCAAGTAGAGAGAACGGATTGTAAGCAAGTATTGGTAATTGAGCAATGCGAGCAATCAATAGCGGAAATTTCGAATTCCATTCCAGTTGGCGTTGCCAAAACCTCATTTTCTGCTGGCAAATGTAAGCAATTTAATAAATGTAAATAACGCGAAATGCGTTGATAGAGCAAGTCCCGTGCGGGTACCTTTGCACTTCCAGATGGTCTTGCACTCAGGCTTGTAGTCAACCCAATCTGGTGATGTCCACATAATGGCATGGTCAGCAACAAAGGAGAGAAGCCATCAACAACGCGGAATGTGATAGATAGAGCACAAGGGAAACAACCCATGGATCAATTGTGACGAATGAAAGTAACCAAAATCTTGTGAATGGAGCCTGAAAAAGCACCATCTAGGCTTGGCACGCTTCTCCGTTGTTGCCACCCTCATATATATCCACAACATTCAAAAGAATCCGAGAAGATAAGAAAGGAACAACAAAGAGCACAAAGCAAACGCGAAAGAACCTTGAACGCGGCTTGACATGGAGGACTCACCGTGGGGCATGTAGCACTTTCCGATCTTGACGTCCTCGCAGACCGGGGTGGTGTCTGAGCACAAAAGACAAAGAAAGGCTCATTGCAAGTTCTCGGGAACCGGCACCCCAGAGACTTAACCGGCGTTGGCCGCCTCTACAGTAGCGGCACACCGTAAAGTACTCAACCCTTCCGCATAGCAACGCTTGGCCGTTTATTGGATACAGAAACGCAAAAGCTTGGCCTTTTTTCGCAAAGCAACATACAAAACCCAGATGGCACCCTGAAAACTAAAATGCCAAACGAAAAGCGCAACGCTAAGATTTTCTGATGCGGAAGGGTTGAATATTTTACAGCACTGCAACAGGCGTGACAGGGGTCGCCACAGGCGATCGATCGGATCTGGTTCGGAAAAACGCCAACGGAGCTCACATGGGATCTCTTTGCAGTGGACTTCCTCCCGCGCACACTTGTAGCCGGGGTCGCAGGTCTTCTCACCGCACTCCACCCCTGCTCGCAAACGCCATGCAGATTAATAATCCATTCTACGCATCCAATACCGACGATCCACACCGGCGGTCGCCTTTGATCCGCTTGTTGCCTGTTCCAAGTTTTTGAAATGCCCAATAGAACGCATATTGGACATATTGGAAATATATCGGTAAATAAATTGGAATAACATGTTGGAAATACATGTGGACGCCATACACGCATCTGTAGGACGACACAATCTCACGAATGTTACACAGTTATTTCTACGCTGGGTGCCGCAGAGTGCTCGATACGGGGAACTCTCCGAATATGGATATGGATACGAATACGAATACGAATACGGATACGGATATAGATTCGGATCGGGTATGGATATGGATATAAATATGGATATGGATACGGATACACATATGAGAATATATACTAATAAGGATGTGTATAGGCATACGGACGTGGGCGCAGATGCGCGCTTAGTGTATTGACTGGGCGAGTGCGGCCAAAGTGCAGAATGGAAACATATATATGGGCAGTGGACAACTGGTTTGGCTCTTCCCAATTCCATGATAATGCAACACATTTCAGTCAGCTGGCTAGGCCTTTGCTATTCCCAGCATGATGCTACGCTTCGCCGAGTCCACTTGGCTTCGAATTGGACAACGCCACTCCCGCGCCGGCCTGCTGCACACTCTGGCCACTCCCTTGCAGCATACAATCTTAACAGAAGGCAGAAGCAGCGAAAGAGAATCGGCTGCATAAAGCAAATCAACTCCTTATTTGCACCCCGAGTACTGCCGTCTGAGCACTTCTATTGGTAAAAGTGGCAAAAAGCTTGGTGCATTGTAGCGTTTGTTGTGCACCTTCCCAAAGAGCGGCTGGCAGGTGCCCGCCGAAAATGAAATGCGGACTCACCTTCTGGGCAGACCTTCCTTGCGACGTTGGCGCACTTGTATCCCTCCTTGCAGTAGCCCTTTCCGCACTTCTGGCCCGCTGCAAGATCAAGAATGTGGACGCATGCGCATTATCTCAACTAGCCAGTCTGAGCAGATGAATGACTAGACAATCTCCCAGGGTACAGCTCAAACGTCAAAGCCATCTGCAACACCGCCGCGAGATACTTTGAGTAAATGAGACCATCCCGCACCCCAACCGCGGCCCGAACGTCGAACGCTGATCGTTCACCGGATATTGCTGGCTGGACCCAAAAGATCGAGCCATGCTGCACCGCGAAAGGCGCGCCACGTCGCGAGTGCTAAAGATGCATGGCACGACCCAGGTAGTGCACGACATGCTTACGATTACACAGTGTTTGCGAAACACATCACCGAAATGTTGAGAAAGCCGTTCCGTGCGAAGGGAGCGCGATTCTGAGCACACTGGACTCAGACCGAACCAACTTTCGTGTGGAAATCTGTTTTGCCGTCCAGGGCGTATTTTTGGTTCAGCGGTCCCGCCGCCCACCTTCCCATGGCTTCATCCACTCGAATGTCTTGTCTCCGTACACCTTCTCCTCTTCCAGTTCGGCATGCACGCACTTCTGCGCGTAGACCGTCTTGCACGGATCTGCAAGCGGCCACAAACGCGCTCAGATTTGGCGACACCCCGTCGATCTTATCTTGATGCGTGCCACAAGGCAAGACCCCGCCCTCTGTTGCCTACTAGCCATTGCCACAATTAAAGGACGTCGCGAAGCCCACCCCGATTCCCAACCCAGCCACCCGTCCACCCACCCACACCCACCACCCTGCTCTCTATAATTGCCGCGTTTAACCCGTAGGCCACTTCCTCACTGTCAAGAGCGTTTTGGTGGGCACCAAAATATTAATGACTTACCACCGAGGAACCCCTTACAGCACAGGTTGACATGCTCAGGGGGCAGTTCGACCCCTATTACTCACATTTCCTACATTTCTATGTTCTTATATTGCCCTTCTTGGGTACGGGAACAAAAGATATCGCACGATGGGCTACCTCCCCAGGTTTGTGGTGTAACAAGTGCACAGCAAGACGTTAAAATTTTTAAAGGCAATTGGCATTAATGTATCGAAGCTGCAGCATGCGTAAATTCACACACAACACATCCACATGCTGTCGATCCACGCACAAGCCACATGCAAACCTGAACACATACGATGCACCACGATGTGCAGCCCACAGGCACACGCACCTTTAGGAACGCACTTGTACTCCTTGCGGCAAACTTTAACGGGCTCGGTGGTGTACGTGGTACCTACGAAGAAGGTCAACAAACATGAAGGTGTCAAGTGAACACCTCGCGCCCCATTAGACTTGCGACTTGCAGTGACAGAATCCAACTTGATGATGACATCATCAATCCATTCACTTCGCAATTTGGGCATTGCTCCACTAACCAAAGAACGATACGAACTGGTGCCGAAACTCGGCGCATCGGACCCAACATCGGCGCATGCCCGTCAGTGGCGCATCGGGGCAAACGCGCCGTTCGCAGAACACTGGCAAAGTACTGCGGGCACCGCAGAAGATTAGCAATGGTGCTGCAAGGAACCGAGTCTCGTTGCCTTCTTCTGGAAAGCTCTTTTCCATCCGTTTCTTCCTTTCTGCGCTTTTCACGAAGTTTGGGCCTTTCAAAAGCGGCTAATTCTTTAACACCGCGTCTACCGATCCACCGTACGACATTCTAACAGCTATTCACCATCCAATCAGTAACAGCATAATCAAAAATAAATAGTGTACTATAACACATACTAAACCGGGTAAAAAGGGGCCGACTCGACGCGCGACATCCAGAATGCGCATTTTCAACCACAGTTTTTGAAGCCACACCCACTGAGAAAATGCTGCCCAATCAACATAGTTTCCAATTGCTTCAAAACGCGTCAAAGTGGGGCCGCATCGCGTAGTCTAGGCTAAAGCCTTATGGGAATGGACACAATCTTGCTCTTCTAAATTCGCTTATTTTCTGGTGCCAGATTTCTCCAGTAATCTTGCGCGCACAAGATCTGGGCGCATGCCCCAGGCTCACCTTTGGAGACCGCCACTGCAGAGGCCTTGGCTGAGGCCGGACCGCCTTTGGCCACAGCACTGGCGCTGGCCCTGGCCGAGGCCGGTGCGGGATAGCCTGCGAGGTAGCAACGCATGATGAGCACTCATTTGAATAAGCAACTTCATAAAGAGCATTCAACATCAATGGAAATGTGAACATTGTGCATTTAAAATGTTAAGTATACGTATTTACAGCGTTCATGTCACTGGCGCAGGCTGATGCGGATGCACAGCTGCCTACGAGGCAACAATGCATGGGACAAATGCACCTTGGCAATCCTTTTCTCAAGCAGAACTCAACACCAACATGTTAGCCTTTTAAAGAGCAGCTTATTGGTAAATAAATCCTATGGGTGATGTGAGTGGACATGAGTGACCAAGCGTCAAGTCTTGTGCTCACTCTTCTGTTGAAGGGCGCGCAATCGATGCAACACATGGAAAAGCTGCAGACAGCGCCGTGCTCGCTAACGAACGCAAAGCACTGCGCCGAGTGGCACAGGTGCGGTCCCTGGTGTCCCTGTACTTTGTGAAAGATGCTCGCGGCTCTGGGGAGCGCCCACCTTTGACTTCTTGTTCCACAATCTCGCAGACCTTGGTGGCCTGGCACTCTTCGTCGTAAGTGCATGCGTCATCACCGCACTCGGTCAGCTCTGCGGCGGCAGTGCGTCAAAAGCACTTAAAGAAAGGTCGTACAACGCGGCGATACAAAGTACTAAGTCTTGTTTCCCACTTTCCCCCCAATTCAAATCTATTCTATTCTATATCATCTATGCTATTATGTATTTCTGTTAAATTTATGTATGACCATTTTATCTGTTTTGCACTATTTATGCTTCCTATGATTCACAGGACATATCGAGCAGGAGTCTATCTGGTGCGATATTTGGACGCCAGTTTTTTCATCAACCTTCTCATTTAACATTTAGTTCTGAACTCGGCGATGGCAATGAATGCACAGATAATAGATGCTCACACAAGCAAACACAGTTATTTTGTTTGTCTATTCACTTATTTATTTGCTCGTTTCAATAGTGATCTGTTTATTCATGTATTACTCGTTAACGCAGCTGTATTACACATTTATTCTAAATCCTGGCGAACCCATATCCAGGCTCTGCGAAGGACTTAGTCAGATCTGCCCCCAGTACTTTATGGTACACATTTCAGGCACGTGCTCAACTGCATATGATTCAAATGACATCAGATATGTCATTTCGCCTGCTCATTTTCATGTGTTTGAATACACATAACATTCGGTTTATGCTCCTTCCATTTAAGTATGTGTTTTCAACCTCGTCAATTGCCCTCTTCTAATTCTCACACTGGTGCAATTCAATTTCATTCTACACACAATAGAAGGATGTCTATGTGCCATAGGATGAGGCGGTTGTGGTACGTGAGCACCTTTCAGCAACCGGCCCTGGTGCAATGAAAAACAGCAGCAGCAAAACAATGATCTTCAATAAATGCTTAAATTAGAAAAGAATGCAACAGCATGCCCTGTCAATGATATGCGCGACGTTGCATGCAATTATGACAAGACCAGCAAGTGTACGAATGCAAATGGTATGGGAATAGACACAATCACAGATGGCTGCTCCAGGAGAGTCCAAAACGGCAAGCAGTGCAGATAAACCTTAGATTCTCCCAGTCTCTTCACATTGCCCCAGAATCTTTCAAGTTCTCACAGAATCTCTCAGGTTGCATTGGAATTTCATGCATTCTCTTGGACTCTCTTTTATTTTCTTAATAACCTTAGAATTGAAACACAGAGCAGACGACTTTGCACCATAGAGTTCTAAGTCATCAGCGAATGCAGGGTAGTTGTAGTGATCAACACAATGAATGATTCAATCGCGCCCCTCATGGAGTTGCGTCCCATGTGCCCACCTTGCACGCAGGTGTGCTTGGGTGCCGCGCATTCCTTCTTGTACTTGGTCACTGCACACACACGATCCCGAACATGTCATGGTCAACATAATCTCTCGGTTCATATCGACTCTTGACATAATTTACGAAATCCACATGCACTGTTCCCCAAGTTCTTTATTACTGACTAGGGCTGGCACCAAACATATGTGAATATGCATTTGCAAAATTACAAGAATAAGCAGCAAACTAGACATTACAATAACAATTTGAATCCTCGCGGTGAAAAAAAACACTTGCGACGGAAGGAAATGTCCTGAAAAGGCTCGCCGCAGCTCCGCAAGCCGCGGGTACGAGTACCATTTCGATATTTCAAATTGAAGACATTTAATTGTGATTTCCCTCAATCATGATGACAAATTTGTACATCATCATCATCATCATCGTCATTTTTCCAGAACACGGCAATGGTAGCCGCCAGCTTCCTATTTTGCCCGATCAAGGCAGAGTCTGTTTTCGACATCAGGCTGGCATCAAGCACGTGTTAATGCTATTCATCTCTCACGGCACTTGGCTGGGGCTAAGTAATATGATCATTCAGCAGCGCTTTAGCAAACGGCATTTGCATTGCGGAAAGGTGCTTTGAGCAATAGCAGAGCAAGCAAAGAAAACTAGATACCAAAACAGATCGATTCAATCCAATGATAGACAGGCGTACAGGGCCGAGCATTTTCTGATTGAACAGCCGCCCCACAGGGACTGGCATGGGCCTTGGCAGAGCATGTGTCGAAGCTTCTCCTTCTGTTGGTATCCCATCCAAGCACACACCACGCTCCAAGGAATTCCTGACGAAGTTCTTCTGTTTCGAATTAGTACTCAAGGTCACATGTGAGGTGTCGTTGACATGCTAATTGACACAATTTCGATGGATTTCGGACTGCCTGCTTGTTTAATTGATGAATATATTTATCGATTTATCGATCTACCGATTTATCGATTTATCGATTTATCGATTTATCGATTTACCGATTTACCGATTTACCGATTTACCGATTTACCGATTTACCGATTGATCGGCTGATCGATTTATCGATTGACCGATTTATCGATTGAACGATTTATCGATTGACTGAGTTGTTGACTGATTGGCTAACTGATTGATCGATTTTTGCATCATCGGTTGGCTGGCTGGTTAATTGGTTGATCAATAGATGACTGACTGGGCAACTGAAACCACACGAGGAGCACGAAGCGCACTCGTGGCGCATGTGCAACAAGCACCAGCTGCTCACCGACACCCGGCACCTACCGTTCTTGCATTTCTTCGTCGTGTCGTACTTGCACACCTTGGGGTATGCGCACCAGTCATCGCCGCACGCCACTGAGCCACCACAGTCGCGACATTAGCCTCCGAGAGAAACAAACATTTGGGAAGCACGTGCAGCACGCCAAATCCGAGATTTTCGAGTCCTATCAATAGCTAATGCATTGTTAATGAACTCCGATCGGAAAATTTCATGGAGATAACAGTGCAGGACAGAGAACCTAAACCAGCAAGACGGGTGCAAGAATGTGCAGCAAACCACAATGTGCCCACTTTGCCCGAAAGAGACTCATTGACGCACCGCTGGCTTCCTTCCGAACATGTATTTGAATTTAAAATGTCAATAAACAACGACATTTTCTACTGATTAGTGATATTGACTTCACAGGCTTGGACACCATTCCATACAGCATTCTCTTGACAGACAAGGCGCTCCCAGATTCCCTCAGCAGACGACCAATTAGGCCAAGAGTTCATGTACAATCTCTCAACGCAATGACAACAGTGGTGCCTGATGTGCTATCCAGCTATGTCAACCATTCCGGGATTGTGAAAGTTATTTACTATCAGCTGTCATTGAAACGATTTCAGTCACCACTCAATATCACTAGTTTTGTATACGGCAACAGCGAGTGTACAATGGCGTCGGTGTAACAGCAAATACCAGCATCTGTTTATTGTGCAGCTGACCCACACAAAACGACATACTGAATCCAGTACTGTTCCAAGAACAGGGAAAGATGCGGCGTCGCATTCTTGGCCAAAGTATGGCACCACACGATTCAATGCACGCCTTTCCAAAGTAGCGTACCAGCATGATATATGTAGTTTCCAGTACATAAGTATGAGAGCGCGCGGTGAGACGAGTTTTGTATGCATCCGCATGTGAGTCAAAACCATGTTGTATAATATGTACTACAAACTTCGCACAATTATATACGCTTTTCTGGCCCAAGAATCTGTGCGCTACCTTTCTCGCCCTCCTCGCACACCTCTTCCTTCCAGCAGTGCTCTGCCCAACAAAGCGTAAGTAGCAGTTACGTAAAGGACCCATTTCCGGGCTCAAAAAGCAGGAGAAGCAACATTAAAACTACAAATGCATCACATTCAAATCCATGGGGCAAAGAGCATGAAAATATGTGATATGAGGTTGGCAAAATCTGCAATGCTTCAATCGACAAATGGCATGCCACAGCACGTTAAAAATTCACCGTTATCTCACCGCTGCGTTAGTCGCATTTGCCACAATATCATATTTCTCCTTATTCATGCATGCAGTAATCCTTTCATTCAATCATCGATTCACTAACGAACCATCACTCAGGGAATCATCCATTTGCTCAAAAAAACTGTCTAGTTGCTCAATCTATCAATCCACCTATGTGCTCGTCACTTCTCTTTCCAACGCCATGTGCCTCAAACAAAAGACCTTCTCACCATCAGACTTCACACACGAATAGACGGTATGACCACATTTTGCGGAGTAGGAGTAGTGATCGTCGTCGTCATCATCGGCGGCCACGTGCGCCTGCGACATTGCATTGGAGGCAGTCCTCAGGAACGAAACAGACGATGAACATGCCAGTGTATAGTTATGGAACAGAGGCTATTCACACTTGGCAATGCATCAAGGCTTCAGGGAATGTTGCAAAAGCACCACTGGGAACACAACGCGCACCATAACTTGAACTGACTCCGTCAAGAAAGGCTTCACTCCTCGATTCGCTATTCTGCAAATCGCTGTTCGCAACTGGCTTCTTGGGCCAATCATGATGCGATCTCGCAAGGGGAACATGATTAACACTCCATCATTGACATATTGCAATGTCAAATTGAACATAACCATATATTGTTCATTCAACAGTTGGCGGAGTTTCTGCAACCTCCAGAACGGTCAAGTGCATACAGCGCAATTCTGTGCTCAACTCAGGATCTCATTCGCTGTCCAATCTCTGTTTTTCCAATCTTGATTGGTGAACATTCCAGTGAGTGCTGTAACGATTGCATTGCCAGATGACAATGATGCCGCAAAAGGCTGATGCCAATGGGCAGAGCAAGCTGCAACGTTGCAGAAGCCTATCTCTGCAACCCAAACGGGCGATGGGCGCACATGAGGGCATTAACCACAGATGGCATCAAAACCTTCTACTGTTTGTGTTGGACAGCTTTCAGCAAGCCTGCCAACTTCAGAGGGTACTACAATGACAGGTACAAAAGCAGCAAGGCACAAACTGCTGATGCTGCAGCCAGCACAACCACTGTCGACAAAGCTTGGACTCCACAGAGTATGGAGAATACACCATCAGCCGTCCCCCTCCCCATTAGTGTCAAACTCAGAGCTGAGCTGTGACCATCACTTCAAGCTTCCATTTCATTCTGTGTCAAGTCCTGTTACATGTCCAGCTTCCACCGATCCCCAGTCAACCACCAAAACATGACACAACCACGGAATCACTCCCCACAAAAGGTCCCTGGGACGCTTACCGCGAGCAGGAGGCCCAGGAGAACGGCCAGCACGAGTTTCATGGTTGCGGACCACCTGTGCAGCAATGCCTGTATGAGTATCCATTCGCTGCATGCATGCACGGCTTCCGCCAGGGGAGTGAAGACAAACCCATGCGTTGGGGAATGCATGTCCTAACGCAGCTTCTCACGTCACTATGCGGAAAACCATCGCCAGATATGCGGAAGAGTTTGAAACAGAACCCCCGGCGAGTGCCCCCTGGGGGCGGGAGGGGGGCCGTGTGACCGACTCCTCTACCCTGTGATCTCTGGCCGCCCGAAGTACTCGTCGACCCAGCGCTACCAAACGCCGCCCGTTCTTTCAGCGGATCCGCGCCCGTGTTCAGTTGTCAGAGTGCGCCGCCCAGCACACCACGAACGCCAGCGGGAGACGGACCCATCGCGTTCGGCGGGCACAAAACGGCCTGCCCAGATGCCCACGCCCAAACTCGAACGCCGCGGCCACGGCCAGGACGGGGACCACCCAGAAAGCCCGCGGCACTGCGCGGGAAGCCGCACCGCCGCCAAGGGTGCGATGGCGCTTGCGCGGGGCGGTGGGAGGCTGCGCCCAGGTCGCGTGGTGTCCCCACCCAGCCGCCCACGCCAAGAGCCATCCCCGGTGGGGATGAGAGTAAGAAATGGAGGATGTGCGGACACCCTTGGCACTCTGCCGGCCGCTAAGGGCCGCACGTGGCCAAGTAGGACGCCGAAGAGGGCGGCTGGGGCGGGAGGCCGACCGCGGGAGGGCGCATCTTCGCGCTAACTCCTCGGCCGTGACGCATGCATGGAAACTATACGACCGACATCATCCCTTGCATGTGCAAAATAACCGTCGCGATGGCGCGGATCTCGGCAAGGAATCGTCGGCCAGGAGGGTGGGAAATCCCGCTCTGTCCGTCGAGGGGCGGAGTCCCGTCGCGGGGATAACGCGGGTGCGCCGCTCGTCACGCCCGGGGAGTCACGCCGCACCGCCAAGTTCGCGCGCCGACCGCTTCGCCCTGCCCCTCAGTTCCGCAAACCCACCCCAACTAACCGAGCTAAGTAGCTGAAACTCCGCAGGCTGTCCCCTGTGCCCTGCCTCCCACGAGCTGGCGGGATGCCTCCTGAAGAAAGCGCGGTCTGTCAGCGCGATCTGCGCCCGCAGAGCGCCGAATCAAGGACACCCTATGATGTGCAAAATACCCGCCCATTGGGTCGCGGCAGTACATGATTCTGTGGATCCATGGCGAGAGGCGGGCACGGACCAGGCTGTTGGGTGCCATCCTGCGCATCAGGGCTTTCATCGTGTCCGGCGGGACTGTGAACTCTACCAGGAACCTGCGGCGCGGACACCGCGGCTCAGATTGACGCTATTTGGTTGACTCAAGCCGCCCCTGCGACTTGCACCGCCGCGCCCCGAATTGGGATGGGCGGTTTGACAATCTCGGACACTAACGATCAAACGCGGTGCAAGGCAACGAGAGATGAAGGATCGGGGAAGGGCCCGGACGTCGGACTAATGGTTCCGTGGCGTGGCGCGGCCTCGCCAAAGGGACAGTCCCTCGTGTGACAAAGCACGACTTCAATCGCACCCACAGTCTGCGCTGATCCTCAAACGGGTGCTGGGAAGATGCCGCGTGCGGGGTCGGGAGTGAAGCAAGCGGACCAGAGCACATTTCCTCTGGGAATCCTGTGCTCGAACAGGCTCAATCCAGCGCATCGCCAAGTGCCAGCAGCGGCCAGCGGAGGCCGTCCAAGAGCAGGGGCGCGCGTGTGGATTCCCCTGTTGCGTTGGGCACCATGGTTGATGATGCATGCAGGCGGGCGCTGGCGCTCAGCGTTTTCCTTGCATTCTCCATCGGATTCCCCCATTTGCGGGATGGATTGGAGCTCGTGCCCCTTGCAGGCGTCGATGGGCTTGCGCACATCCGAAGCATGTGGTCGCGGTTGTGGGCGCCGAGTGACGCGGGTGCTCTAGGCGCCTCGCACCAGGGTGTGCCACGAGCCTTCAATGGTGTGTGTGGGTCAGAACCCGCCGTGGGCACGCGGTTGGGGCAGCGGCCGACGCGCTTCAAAGGCGTGTCCTTGGCAGCATGTCTGCTGGTGGTCTTGCAATGGGCGCTATAGCTTGTTCTTAGTCCCACACTGTGCATCACATTTCAGTCATTCCGTAGCAAACTGGGCAAAAGTGGCTAATGACCAGGCGGCCTGGCGATCACGTAGGCAGTGGTGATTCCGTGTGCCCCTGGTCTTGTCCAATGAACGTCGGATAGTGCGGGAAGACAACAGGGACGCCACCAGGAGTCCTTGCCAAAATTACCCCATTTCATTGTGTGGCTCCTCTGTGACAGCGGCCCATGCGTCGTCATGGGATACCTGTGGGCAGTGGTCAGGCCAAATGTTGGGGCACTGCTGCGTAATCTGCGTCAGCTGCTGTGCAAAATATTGTTCACGCGCAGGATGGGCACCAGCCAGCAACAGCCGGGGTCATTCAACGCCCTATTCCGCTGATGCACAGCCATGAGATTATAAAGAGTCAAATTCCTGACGAAAAGATTCTCCAGGAGTGTCGTGCCAGCAGTCAAATTTCAGCCCATCAGGTTATGAGTACCTCGTACACGCCATGCGCTCAGGCAACTTGGTTGGTACTTCCTTCACTCAGATGATTGGATCTTTCAGTATCCTTCACCGCCTCCACAGTGGTAGTGAGTGCTTCGTTTACCATGGTTGTTCTGGCAGCTTTAATCCATGGAATTTACTGCAGCCTGTGAAAGAAGCTGGGTGAAGCTTTCTTTCTATTGTTGTTGATTGGTGCCTCCAGTCATTCTCGAGCAGCTACTTCACAATACCCAGGTGTCTTCAACCACCACCTCAATGTTGCGCACCTGCCATCGCGAATTTGGTATTGCTGCAGTGCTGTATCACATACTGTGATGGCCACTTGAAATTGCACACATTGGGCTTCTTGATTGCAGCCTTGCCAATCCATCAGGCTGTGGCAAGTTTTGCTGGCAACTTGCCATTCTCAGGAATTTATAAGCAGAGAAGACGAAACACTGTGGCCTAGCCTGTGTGGATTCATGTGTGCCTGATGCAAGAGCACCAAAGGCAACTGCTGGCTGCTGAGATGAAGTCGACAAATTCATGGAGGTCTTCTTGGGACTGTTCTATGAAAGTCAAAGGTATATCAGCCGTGCTGCAATGGCACAGTGGTGAATCTTATGCATCAATTAGCGTTCAAGTGCTCTCTTTGCAGTGCTTGTGCTGTTCTGGATCACACGGGTTCTGGCGCTGACTAAACCTGAGGACCCATCCATGCCCATGCCCAAAGTGTTCTGAAAATGTGTCAGTGATTCAGCAATACGATGTAAGAGTTTACTTTGCCTTGGTTCAGATGAACCATGAAAACCATCAGTTCTGCTATGTTGCAACTGCAAAAGCATTGACCTGGCTACATTTGTACGACTATTTTCCAGGCAGAAATTTTGTGCAGATATTGTGAAGGAAGTCTTCTAGCATGTTGCTCTGGCTTGGCCAAGTCTAGGACAACCAACATGTTATTTGAGTCCTCTGTAACCATCATCACCTGTAAGGTGCAAGGTCCCCGTTTGTCAATGGATGGCCAGCTGATGAATGCAACCCATGGATTTCCATAGCCTGGGAAAATTTGCACCTGAAGCAGAGGAACCAGGAGCAGGTCAGACAAAACTGTCCACATGCCTCAATACGTCCCGTCCCAACAAGTCTTGGGGTAATTTTCAAAGTGCAGGCTCACCACTGTGTCGATGCTGTTGAGTTCATCCTGGATGGCTTCTGCAAAGTATCTTTCATCTCTTCATCCACCTAAAACCAAAGGATAAGCAGATCACTTGATGGGAAGTACAAATCAGGGCACGATTGTATTTCCCTTGTACTTATTATATGTTACTACAATTACAATGTTACTACTATTATTATATTATTATATCCCTATATATTGTTATTATTATTCCCACATGCATTTCCCTTCTCTCATCTGTTGATTCCAGCCAGGAAGCCAGCCTGAGATTCTAAACCAGCCTGCCCTTTTCAGAGGCTGGGCAGCTGACGAAGTCCTGTCCACAACACACAAGAAAAGTGCAAAACATAACACAAATGTGCCAGCACTGAAAAACGATGACAAAGGACCAGTGCAGGACTCGTCAAAACGGTTCTAAACAGTGAAAAATCACGCTGTTTGGGCAGGCTGATAAGTGTTGCAAATGCTGGTCTGACGCCAGTCAGAATACAACTGCCGGTTTTCATGCACTGCCATCTGTTTGCCCTTGTGCGGACAGCGTGTGGTACTGTGGCATCATGAAAGTCAGCCCAGCAGCATCGCAGGGCATCCAGCCAACCCACATATTAACCCTGTTGGTGGTCAGGAACACCAGTATCTTCACAATCTACTGTGTGTTAGAAATGCTCGTATGTCATCAGCATTTAAGGCACCCTGATTGGTGCAAGTGTTGCACTTAGGCATGTCTTTATTTGAATAATTTTTAATTTCAAATTATGCACTTCACAATTCAAATCGCCTTGCGCCATGACCGTTCTGCTAGCAGAGATGTTGGTCCTGCCACCGCCCTCTAGCCCCATTGACGATTGGTTGGCAGGATGAGAGGGTGTAGGAGGTTGAAATCAGATATATTCAAGACCTGGCAGGCCATGCCAAGCCATACAAGCATGCAACACCCAGGGCAATCTTGCTGATCTTGGGTATGGATGATCTATGAGCGCACACTGTCATCAGTTACACACATGCCAGCACGGATCCTGTAAATCCTGTTGCTACTAGCCCTGTTCCCAGCAGCAACATGTGCCATGATGTACTGCATATGTTGATTCATTCATACTGATAGCCTTGTCCCCTTGCTGTCGGCACGATTGGGTGTACTTTTGCTCCATCCACACTACACTGCCTCTGCACATGTTTCATTACCTTTTCAAGCCCAGGCATGAAGATAGCTACAAGTCCATCACAATGCCAAACCAGAGGCTGCTGACATTCCAATGTGGACACTGTGCCCTGTCATTGTCATTGCCTGCAAAATGCAGGGACCCCGCTTTGTCTTTCGGAAGCAAATTTAGACACCCTTGGATTATATCACACCAAGGAATTCAACCTCATCTTGGTGAAAAGGACAATGCGAATCACAGCAGGAATGGCACTGGCTGGAGGAGTGGGCTTCTGTATGTGTCAGAGGCGGATGGCTAGTGTATTTTGTTCTGCATTTACCTTTAAAAGGCAAAGCATTACCTTTGCACCTTGCAAGGGTTCACAGGTACATGACATCCACAAAATTTTCTGCTGCATTTCATCTGACGGGTGGCGAGTGGAGAAAAGAATGAATGAATGAGCGAGGATAGGGAAACGTCCTGGAAGTCAATGCGACCGTCATTGCCGGCAAGGTGCTATTCCCTGCAGTGTGTTTTAAATGCAAATCTGGCACAAGGGATAAGCACTGCATATGCACCTCAGGTAAAGATCCCCTCAATGGTGAAACGCGACGCGCATCACGTCAGGAATAGCTGTAGCTACAAGGCCGGCGCCCGGAAAACGATTTGTGCGTGCGCCAACAGGCACGGGCCGTTGCAAACAGGAAGAGGAGAAGGTAAAGCGAAGATCAATCATTTGCCTGTCGCAGTCGTGGTTTCACCTGGACTTTGACCGTGCTCCGACAAACAAGGCAAGCTTCTGCCCCCATCCCATCTCGTGTCCACAACGCCTGCCGATCAGCGACTCGTTCGATGGGCCCGCCACGCAAGAACAGCATCCAACGTGGCCTTCCCACTCAGATGGGAACCTGTCCAGCGCCGCCACAAATCTGTCTCCGGCGTTCGTGCCCATCTCAAAACAAGGTGCAGACGGCACGGGGTGGTGGTGCTGCGCCCAGCGTGGAGACTCGTGAGGACTGCGCCCGGAGTGCCTTTCCCGGTCCTGGACTGGGCAAAGGCATTCTGCTCCAGTACTTCTGGGCACTGACTGTCCGCACACTTGCCCCAGAGGACCACGTTACGGTGTGGGCCGCACAAAATTTCGCCATTGCCGCGCAATATCAACACTGTGATCAATCAATCTGTTGTTGACGAGATTTATTCCGACAAATGCAGTTGCGCAGCTCTTGAAGAAGGCATGCAGGGTCGAGGGTGGCTGCCCCTGGCTGGGGACCGTAGGCTCGAGTGCACGGCAGCGGTTTCTAGCGGAGCGAAGGGGCAACAGGGCTTCTGACCCTTATGTATACGGTCCATTCATTAGTGTCTTTAATTCAGTTCCTACTGTTTCATCACCTTTTTTTCTATGCATTGTAACTAGAACCGATTGAATATTATGATGAGCAGGACACATAAAGAAGCGATGAGGCATCAGGATTTGCATTAAGGGTATGTTAGATTTCCCACAAAATGACAAATATTTGTTGGCCGCTTTTGCGTTTTGGTCACTGAATGAGGGTGCTGGTTGTTTGCCCCAAGGCCGCACAGGATGGGGCTTGTAATGGCGCTGTTTTCTTGTGCATTACCAAGAGTGGCGGCCAGGGCCACCATGGTCGTCGCCGGCGCCCGACGTGGTGGCACGAGTCATCCCAAGATGTTGATGAAGGTCTGCCAGAATATATTAGTCCTTCTGCCTTTGCCATCCCGATGGCATGGCAAAGGCAAAAGAACCAATATATTTTGGTAGGCCTTCATCAACATCCAACTATAGTAGGGGTCCTTATATAGCGCCTCTGGCCCCCAATGGCGCCCTCTTTTTGGCTTGCCACCATTTTTTTAGTACTTTGTGTAGTTTGGCTGCGCAGTGGGACCTCAAACTGATATTGTGGATACTGGCAAGAGGTATCCAGTGGATGGACGCTGCAACGGCCGACTATTTTCATGAACTTGGCTGATACTTGAAGATTGTTGGTGTGGGGCTGCTGCCCTCTTTGAGCTATGGACCACCTCACAGGGCACCTAGGTCCTTACGGGGACCTAGGCGGGACCACCCCGACCTACTCCCGTGTTACGGTCCAGGCCGTGAGGTCTAGTGGGAGCAGCCACATGTTGCAAAAAGGGTATAAATACCCATGGGAGAACTCCAGTATAAGGGTGCTGATGAGGCGTTGTGGCAAACGCCGAAACCAGTCCACCTTGCCGTGAGTTCGAACCTTGCCTAAGGTAGATTGTTCCACCAGGGGTTTTTCTACGGGAAGCCTAAAGTACTGGTATCCCGACCCACCAAGGACAAAAGCGTAACACCCGTATCGTATACTATCGTATAAACTGACTGGGGTGTCATTACTATATCTTAGGCAGGGCGCCTGCTACACCAAGAAGCCAATAAGAGGGCATCCCCCACATCAGGCCATTGTGCGTAATATTCGTCCCCCTCAGGGAGGTGGGATGTCCCCGTCCCAGTGCGGTGATATGGGAGTAGACACATGCTTAGCTTCTGGGCCTGCTGTGGGTGGTGGAAATTGACTGTGCATCTTGCCACATGCCCAATTGTCCACACATTATATATTACATATATACTGAAGAGAAAGAGTGGTTGTTGCACGGAAAATGTTCTTACGGACAATGTTACGCGCAGCGGCCTGATGTAGGGGACGCCTTACTAACGGCCCTTGGTGTGGGGGATGCCCTGCCCAAGATAACTAATCCTCAACCCACCATAACCGCTCTAGGTATTAGGATACGGGAGTAGGAGGGGTGGTCCCGCCTAGGTCCCCGTAAGGACCTAGGTGCCCGGCGAGGCGGGTCCGCGGCTCAAAGAGGGCAGGAGCCCCACACCCACAACCTTTTCGTATCATTTGGTTTCGGAGCCACTTGTGGGTGGCTACCACGTCTTCGCCTGGGCGCGAGAGCGAGCACGAGGAACCGGGCTTCTTCCCCGGCCTCCTCCATGGAGGCTGAGGAAACGGACCCCGCAGCCCGACAGGGCACACCCGAATCCTCGGGTAAAGAAACACCCCGACAGGGGACACCGGCAAGTTCGGCCGATGAGGATGTCATAGCTCGATAGGGCCAAGAGATGGAGGAAGTCCGAAAGGACACTGCTGGCACATCGTCGGGTCGAGCTGCGCCAGAGGAGCCCGACCAACAGATGGCCGAGGCAGAGGAGGCTCCAGAAGAGGAAGCGGCGGAGCCGGGCACGATGGCCGCCCTGTTGCAGGCGCCCGGCATCATGGAGCTTCTTGAGAAAATGGTGGAAGCGGTGGCTACATGGGCCCGAGAGACGCGGGACAGAGAAACCCCTGAAAAAATTGCCTCGCTGGAAATTGCAGCGGCGACGGCCCAAAAGGAGGCCCGGCAACACGAGGTCGCGTTGAGGAAGGCCAAGAAGTAGAGCCGCCAGGCTGACGAGGCCAAGGCATCCACCGAGCAGCAAGTGGCCGCATTGAGCGTTTGGCTACTGAAGCAAAAAATGCGGGCACGCAAGGCTGAAGAGAAAGTCTCGCTGCAGGAGAAACAGCCCGAAAGGGCCCCCAGTCCAACGGCAGCCCCCATGCCGGTGATTCCAAAAGCAAAGGGCGACTGGCAAACCGTCGGCAAACCCCAGGCTAAACGGAAGAACCCGTTGCAAGGTGAGCCAGTGGGAGAGATCGTAGGCCCAAAGGTCAGGACCGCTAAGCCAGTGGGAGAGATCCGATCTCTTGATAGTATCAAGAGGTGTTGTAAGAGGCTGGAGGCGGAGGCATACCCCATGGGCTCCAAGGCTCTCACCAAGCTGATGCACCTCCGGCATTTCCTTTACAAAATCGGTGACGAGGATACTAAGGGGCCATACAGTGGGTTGGTGCCATTCTGCAGTGACATGCTGTGGAAGCTAGAACAGGCCCTCAGCGACTCCACGTGGGTCTGGCAAATGGCCTTTTTGGCTTTGATGGACCCCACCGGTGAGCGATCATTGCTAATCACTCAGTGATGGTGTTGTTGGTGTTGTGTACTATTTCTCATTGTGGTGTTGTTCACATATTCAAACACATATAAAAAGGTCAGAAGCAGTGCTCATGAATTGCATGGTGTGTGTGCAGTGTACGCCTAGAAGGCTACCCTGGGGTCCTATATAAAGGTACTGGAACCCATCAGGGAGAAGTTCGTGTCGGTGGATGCCGTGATGG